GTTATTTGTTCAGTAAGTCATGTTTTAATTTTATCTTGTGGAGCCCATTATCATTGCTTATAAGAATAAATATGCACTGGATTTTCCTGTATATTAAAGAGTCATATTGGCTAATTTTAACCAGGACTTTGGAGCTCTAGACCCAGAATGGAACCACTGCAGCCTGGGTCCCGATTTAATAGCCACTTTAGACCAAAGACCTATTTACGTACAAACAAAAGCATAGCCACCTGGGAAATCAGTTACTGTTACCAGATAGCTTAAAAATCCATCCTGAGGAATTCCTACAATTAACTGGTCAGCCATTTTCCTCTCTGCCCTGGCCTGGTGTCCTGTTCCTACATGGTTGTTTCTTTGTTTGGTTGATTGGTTTTTCCAGACAAGGTTTCTCTGTGTAGCTCTGGCTGTCATGGAACTCACTCAGTAGATCAGGCTGGCCTCAAACTCGATGGGATTAAAGGCTTGCGCCACCAACCGCCCGGCTTTGTTTTGTAAAATAGGGTCTCACTATTGCAGGCCAGACTGGTCTTCCAATCCTGCCTCTGCGTCCTGAGTACTGGGATTACAGATGTGTGCCACGATGCCCGCTGCCTATGTAAATTTTGGATTTTGTTTATTTTTGCACTACTAGGGGTAGGATTAAACCTAGGGCCCGTTGCTTGCTAAGGGATCGCTCTGCCGCTGGACTATGCTCCCAGCTGTTTTTATTTATATTTCAAGGCAGGGTCTTGCTAAAATATTCAATCAGGCCTTGAACTTGCTTCTTAACCCGGGCAGTTCTTGCATTTGCAACCCGCTAGCCTCCTGAAGAGCCGAGGTTACAGATTTCCTCTGTAGGCTTTAAGGAACTGAAGGGCGGGGCTTCACAGCATGAACTGTATATAGATGTTCCCAACACAGAAGCGGCATTATTCAGTTTATCCTGGTGTTGGGGTCAGAAATGATTTTTTGCTCCCTCCCCACTAGGCCCACCCGCTTGTATCCCATCCAGCTCTCACTGCTCCACACTGTCCATGAGAACTCCCTATAGGTGCTGCAAAGGCTGTTGCTCATTGTCTTAGACCAGACACACTTTTGTTCCAGGATCATCCTACAGTGGGCTCCCAAGGTCCCAGGCCCAATGCATGGTCACTTCACACTGGTCTTATTGTAGAATCTGCTCTCTGGGAAAGATCCAGTGTAGTCTTCCCATGGAAGGAACCGTGGGGTGAGGGCCCCAAAGCCACCCCACGAATAAATTTTCCTTGTGCAGTTCACAAAAGTACACAAGAGAAAGCACAGGAGTAGGCAAACAAGGACTACCGGAAACAAAGAGTAAACTGGAGAGGGGTGTTAGCTAGCCTTGGTCCTGGGTCCTTTTCTGTCTCCAAATTATAGACTCTCCAGACCCAAGACCTTGGGAGTCACCCTCTAGCTGCAGTCTAAGACAGGCTGTCATTTCCTCCTATGACAACAGTAGAGAGTTCTTTATAAATCTCTTCCAACATTGTTGTTTCTAGTTCCTAAATAAAGGCAATTCTGTTCAGAGAAATTGGTGACCTGCAGAGTTCACACAGGTAGAAAGAGCAAGACTGAACCCCAGACCTTTGGGATGCACAACTGGAGTTCCTTCTGAGTTCCAGTCACATGGTGAAGGATTTAATTAGCACCTGAAAGACCCGCTCGGAATGCCCCTGAGCCCCTGCCCCGAAGCTGCCGGGGCCTCCCAAGCCTACACCCCGGCAGGGCTCGCGCCCCCGGCCCGCCCCGCCTGGCACCTCGCCCAGACACCAGACCTTGAGAATATGCTGATCTGGAATGGCTCTGTGTCTTATTTGAACCATCCAATAGAAATGATTCTGTATTTCGCCTCATTTGAAAGACTCTGTGTTTCACCTCATTTGAATAACTCTGTACTTTGCCTCATTTGAATAACCCTGTATAGCGCCTCATTTACATTGACCAATGGGAATAGCTCTGTACAATGCCTCATTAGAATTATCCAATAGAATCCCTGCTCCTAGCTTGCGCCTTTTTCCCTATATAAGGACCCCTTTCCCTTGGCTCGGGGCGCTTAGCCACACAGAAGCTAAGTTGCCCCGGGTACCCGCGTCTCCAATAAAGCCTCTTGTTTTTTGCATCCAGTTCGTGGCCTCGCTGATTCCCGGGTGTGGGTCTCCCTCTACAAAAGTACCTCTTCGGGGGTCTTTCACACCTTGTCGGCGGTAGGCACTGGAGCCAGGAAGTGCAGTCAGAGATGGGGCACTGGGTAGAGGGGTGCGAGAGATTGCATAAGCAAGAAGAGGAACATCTTCAACTGTCCTGGCTTGATGGGGTTTGTATCCCAAGCCCAGATCCACATGATAGATGGGCACAGAAGCCACAGAACACAGAGAGAGAGTGGGTGACTTCCTCCTGACTGTGTTGTACCTTTAACACCCCCTGTCCCCTCAAATGTGCCTGTTTGCTGCTCTCCAGTTCTCTAGTTCCAAAGGGTTGGATGTTCTGTTCAGTCATCGCATCCAGCTGGGATTCTTTTCTGAGGAATCCTAAAGAGGTTTCTTAGGGCAGAGTGGCTGTGATAAACACCGTGACCAAAAACAGCTCAGGGAGGAAGGGGTTTATTTCAGCTTACAACTTCCAGGTCACTGAGAGAAGTCAGGATAGGAACTCAAGGCAGGAACCTGGAGGCAGGAACTGAAGCAGGGGCTGTGGAGGAGTGCTGCTCACTGGCTTGCTCTCCATAGCTTGATCAGCCTGCTTTCTTTCTTATTTTTAATTTTTTTTTGTTTTTTTTTTTTGTTGTTGTTGTTTTTTGAGACAGGGTTTCTCTGTGTAGCTTTGGAGCCTATCCTGGCACTCGCTCTGGAGACCAGGCTGGCCTCGAACTCACAGAGATCTGCCTGCCTCTGCCTCCCGAGTGCTGGGATTAAAGGCATGCGCCACTAACACCCGGCTTATTTTTAATTTTTAGAGCAATTTCTTTTATTTTTTTGAGATTATAATACAATCATGTCATTTCCCTTTTCCCTTTCCTCCCTCTAAACCCTCCCATATACCCTCCCCTTCTCTCTTTCAAATTCATGTCCTCTTTATTCATTGTTGTTACATACATATATGTACATATATGTGATATGTATATGCATATATATTCCTTAAATACATAAATATAAACTGCTTGGTCTGTATGATGTTACTTGTATGAATGCCTTCAGCTCAGCCTTCTTTCTTGTACAAACCTTTCCCCAAGGGCTGCCGCGCCCACAGTCGGCTGGGTCCTCCCACATCAGTCACCAGGCAAGAAAATGCACCACAGGCCAGCCTGGTGGAGGCAATTCCTCAACTGAGGTTCCCTTCTCCTAGATGAGCATGGTTTGTGTCAAGTTGACACAGAAGTGTCTTTACTGAGCCTTAGTCCCTCTTCAGAACTTCTCTAGGTGTTTGTAGATCAGTTGTGATTGCAAACCACATTTATACCCACTTTGTCTGACTCTCATAACTCAGGTATCCAGGCTCAGAACGTCACTGACTGTGGTCACAGCTAGGCGAGAGCCAGGATCCAGCCCTCTTGACCTGCTGCTGGTGGCTGCTTTTTGTATAATCTTGGCTGTCCCTTGGAACCAGAACTAAGGTGGGAAAGTTCCTCTAGTTCCCCTGAAAATAATCAGGAAGAGTGGGGCCAGGCCCCAGGTTTCACTTTTCCTTGCTGTCTCTTCTTCCTACCTTGGAGGAGGATTCGGTAATACAGAACCGAGGTCAAAGGGGCCGGCTCTGTTGACGTGGGATCTACCAGAACTGAAGTAACAACATGTATGTAATTGTTATGAAAAAGGGACAATTCTAGAACCTGTTGGTTAGAACATCCTTTGTGGTTTTTGTGCTGTGTTATGAAATTCTGGTTTTGCAAAGTCATAGATGGCTAGAGTTGAGAAAGACCTTAGAGACTACCTCACTACAGGTGAGGAAGCTGAGGCTGGAAAGTGGAGGTGGCTTCCCAGGGCAAAGTAGAGACTTCAAACCTTGACTTCAACTTCTCTTAGAACTTCAAGGATTTCTAGAACCATGATCATGTCATGTCTTTTTTTTTTTTTTTTTTTTTTTTTTTTTTTTTTTTTTTTAAAAAAGGATGTCTGTTCCACACAGTACCAGAGGAAGGAAGGCTGGATCTCTGGAGGAGACGAGGAGGAAAGGCCCTAGCCTTGTGGCTCACAGCCTTATTCTTTCTCCTTATTTTATTTTATTTTATTTTTTTATTAGTTCAAATTAGGAACAAGCGTGCTTCACATGCCAATCCCTTCTCCCTTTGTCTCCCCTCCCCCCATCAGCCCCTTCCCCCCTCTGCTCCCCATCTTTCTCCTGATTTTATTGTGAACTTTTTCACTTCTTCTTCCTGCTTCTCTTTCTCCCTATCTCAGCCCCAGGGGACATACCACTGAGAACTCATGGTGTGTCCCAGTGCCAAACACCCAGTGGCAGGAATGATGCAGGAGAAGGGCTAGCTAGCATTTACTGTGTTCCTAGTTGGCACCAGTTCCCACATCACCATTGGGTATCAAGTCCCAAATTGTCATCAGATCATCTCATTTCTGCAGATAGGAGGGCATAGCTGGGAGTCCTGTTCTCCTTTCTAATAATCTGTCCTCCCTGGTTGCACTGAGATGTACCAGTAGGTTAGAATGGGAACAGTTAGCCAAGTCACGAGACAAGCCTCTAAGTTGATAATGCCATTGAGGCCTGTCCTAGATCTAGAATACTATGTCTACCAGCCGGGTATGTTTGTGGGTGCCTTTATGGATGTGAAGGGAACCGAGAATTTGATTCTCCCGATTCCCAACAATCTAAAATTGAGAGAGAATAGCCAGCACTCACACTAGGGGCTGCCATGACACCGAGGGTAGTGGCAGCCATTCTAGCCTCCTCATCCTGCCTCAAACTAAGCTCCACTCGGTACCATCATCAACCCTTTTAGCCCTTATTCCCAATGCCTGAGATGAGCAGAGCCTGGTTCCAGGGACTCCTCTCTAAAAGATGCTGGTCTCCATGTTGGCTTCTCCATCCCCCTGCTCTAAATCCTTCGGTGACTCTGCAGGCCTGGGCTTTGAATGGAGGCTGAGGTTAAGGCTAAGACGGAGGGTAGATGGACCACTGGAGTGGGTCAGCAGTGTTGTGCGGCGGCTAGCAAGGCTGCTGTTGGAGAGTTGCCTGTGCACTCGGGGCTGGGAACCCCTGCAGCAGGAGCGGGGACTCAGGGAACGTGGCAGCAGGTGGCTGTTGAAGCCCATGTAGATCCAGGGGTTGCAGCAGCTGCTGAGGTTGCCCAAAAGCATTGAGATGGTGAAAGCCACATTGGTGGAATCTGCCGAGACAGAAATACAAAAGGTCTTAGAACGACAGCACAAGGGGGAGCCTAGGACAGAAACCGGGTCTCCACTGAGCAGATGAAGGCATGGAGGCCCAGAGAGGAAAAGAGATTCACTTGGGGTTCTGTAACTAGGGAGCATTGCTCAGGCCTAAACTTTAATTCCTAAGCCAGGCCTCACTGCCCCTGTCTCAGCTGACTTGTAACGGTAGTGATAAGGTTTGCTCCAAGTTCAATTTAGAAGAGTAAACGCTGCTTGGGTAGGACTGCTGGTCCAAACAGAAGGAAAAGGTTTTGTTTTAAAATGTGGACCATGAATCCTCTAATTCGAGTCTTTTCTCATTCTTTTAGCCCAGTCCAGCCTCAAACTTAACACAGGCCTTTGGAAACTTACTCCAATTATGATCCCTTTTCGCCCAGGGGAAAAAAAAAATGTATGTTTCCTTGGGTATACAGGTAGACAAATGGAACATTTACTGATACAAATCACAAAGTGATTTTCTTCTTCCCTATGGCCTCATGGATGTGCGTATTTTTCTCGTTGGGTATGAAGGATTCCTTCCAGCATCTATCTGCTGTAGCCTAGAGGCCAAGGGTTCCTTCAGTCTGTTTTCATCATAGAAAGTTGCCTTTTGGTGGACTGTAGGCTGAGCTGACAGTTGTCTTTCAGAGCTCTAAACACATCACTCTAAGCCCTCCTGGCTTTTAAACACTGTTGAGAAATCAGCTGTTACTATGATGGGCTTGTCTTTCTGTGTAACTTGGTGTTTTTCTCTTGCTGCTTCCAAGGTACTTTATAATATAACGTGGGGAAATTCTTTTCTGGTCTTATCTGTTTGGTATTTTAAATTCCTCCCTAAGAGGATGGGCATCTCCCTTAGATAGGTGAGTTTTGAAGCTATGGTTTTATTGGAAATGTTTCTATTTCTTCAGCATGGATTTTTTTCTCTCTTTCTTTTATGGCCCTGGTTTGTAGATTAGGTCTTTTCAGGGTATGCCTCAGATCTCAAATGTTTTATTAACACTTTCTTACTAATTTACCTTTGCCATTGATTGTTTCAGCTTCTCCACCTGGTCTCCAAGTCCTGATACGTTGTCCTTCTCATGATCTATCCTTCGGGTAAGGCCTTTCACAGAACTTTCTGTTGACTTACTAGTATTTTATTTCCAACATTGTTTGCTTTTCTTCAATGTTCCGGTCTCTTTCACATCTTATATTGTTTTCCTTGTTTTCTTCAGCTCTTTGTGTTCTCTTGGAACTCATTTGGGAGTTTGTGTTCTCCATGATTTTCCTGAGCATATTTATAATCATCCTTTTAAATCCTTTGCATGGGATTTTTGTCTAATTCGGTCTCATTGGAGGCCTTTACTATTGGACTAGTGATTTTTTGAAGGAGTCACTTTTCCCTGGCTATTCATGTTTCTTATGTTTTTGGCTTGAGACTTGTGCATTAGGTCATTGGTTGGATTTTTAAAAAGCACTCCCATTCTTTCAGTAGAAGTATTTACAGTGTTCAAGGGAAGCTGCACCATAGTGGGGTTGAGGCATAGCTTTCCTCTATCAGACTTCAGGGCACCAGGAGCAGTCTCCCCTGAGAGTGAAATACTAGCTGCGAAAACAATCACTATCAAGGAACAGGCTCACTGTGAAAATATATTAGCAGTTAAATAAAAAATAATCACTTCCTAAGCACCAATAATTTTAGACAATAAAGAATTGATAGTACGGCAAGCATGAATTTATTAGTTAGTGTGGGAATAGGTAGAAAAGAAAAATAGTGAGACTACTGTTGGATTGATGAAGAAAGAGTAGAGGAAGGAACGTAAGTAGAAGGGGGACAGTAGGGACAAAGGTGTGGGGGTAGAGTGGGGTAGGTAGCTTTGGCTAAAGTTGGAACTGGAAGAGAAAGGTAAGGAAATGCAGATAATCACCTGGAACCACCCCAGTGCCCAGAAGGCTGAGACACAGCAGCCCTTCCACCTTGGCCAGCCTGTGTGCTTAGAGAGGAGAGGGTTACAGACAGAGAACAAGAGCAGAGAAGGGTGCAGCTGGCATGGAGAAGTGGCGTTGGGTATTAAACACAGGAGAAGCAGATGTGAAAGAGAGCGAGCTGATGGGCACAGATGAGTATGAATGCAGGCTGATCTCTTTGCTCGCTCCTGTCTCAAGTCTCTCCGCATTCCTTCCTTGGCTCCCAGAAGCCTGGAACCCCCCTATAAATTGTGTCAGGTCATTGATGCTAGGGGATTCTTCAAGGATACTTTAGGGTCCAGTTCTGTGTTGTGGATGCTGCTCTTGCCTCAAGTAATAGCTCCTGCTCTCTGGGTTTCAAGGAATTTATTTTAAAACAAGTTTTGCTATGTACTTATTAAAGACTAAACCAAGTTTTCATGCCAATGGGATGGATGTGCTTGTTCATTTTCATGTAAACAGATCTTAGCCAAAATATTTGCTACTGTAGAACACAGAGCATTTTCAATGTCTTTCAGAGTTGATTAATATTTTGAATTTATAATAGTCAATGTGCAGACTGTTGTTTTGTATGATTATGTAGCATAAAATAACAGTAGCATATATAAGGACATTTCAGATATTGTTAGAAATTCTATCCTAATAATCCCAGGCCAAAATTCGTTCAGTGAGGGCTGGAGAGATGGCTCAGAGGTTAAGAGCACCGACTGTTCTTCCAGAGGTCCTGAGTTCAATTCCCAGCAACCACATGGTGGCTCACAACCATCCCTTATGAGATCTGGTCCCCTCTTCTGGTGTGCAGATATACATGGAAGCAGAATGTAAATAAAATCTTTAAAAAAAAAAAAAGAACTGAAAAAAAATTCGTTCAATGATATTTTCTTCTAACATATTTTTGATTAATGTATATATGGTGTATATGTGTATGCATATGTGTATATTGGGTGCACATGCTTGTACATGCATGTGTGGAAGTCAGAGGTTCATATCAGGTGTCTTCCTCTATCACTAACCACCTTACAATTTTTTTTTGAGATAGGACATCTAACTGAGTCCAGAGCCCACAGATTGGCTAGACTTGGACAGCCAGCAAGCCTTCAGGAACTTCCCATCCCAGCACTAGATCTGACTACCACACCAGTCTTTTCACATGGATGCTGGAGATCCAAATTCAGATCCTCGGGTTTGCAGGCAAACACTTTACACCCTGAGCCACCTCCTTAACCCTGGTTATTTTTAATATGAAATGCAAGTCAGTAACTCAAACAAAAAAAATTTAAAAATCAAACATTTCAATCCAATGCAATCCAAAGATAAACAAATTTAATGCATGCTGAGCAGCGATAGCAAGAAAATATTAGGTATGATATAAAGCCCGGTATGATAGAACACTTTGATCCTAGCACACAGGAAGCAGAGACAGGTGGATCTCTGAGTTCAAAGCCAGCCTGGTCTACCAGAGTGAGTTCCAGGACAGCCAGGGCTGCTATACAGAGAATCCTTGTCTTGAAAAACCAAAACAACAACAACAATGAGTGGTTTTGGTCTTTCTATTTTCTCTAGAGCATTCTCACCATTTGCTCTGGTCACTATAGTCTCCTTTGCCCAAAGCAGTAGATCAGCAGACCTTGGAATGAAACTTCTCAAACTCCTGCACTGCATGGAAGAGCCAACCGCCATGCTACAAGCAGGCCTGTGGAGAAGCCTTCATGGCAAGGAGCCAATGCACATGGCCAGCTGACGCACTGAGGCCTGCTAGCCAAACCATACACAAGCTCACTTGAAGTGGAATCCTCTCCCAGCCGAGCCTTCAGATGACTATAGACCTGGCTGATACCATAATAGCTACTTCCCTGCGAGAGACTCTGAGGCACAGGACCCAACAAAATGGTGTGTAAATTCCTGACCCACAGAAATGGTGAAGTAAAATGTATCACTCTAAAGACAGTCGACTCTTACCTGGATAATTTTCATCTTTATCTGCCTTGTCAGGCAAGCAATCTTCATCTAGTTCAGTGGTTCTTAACTTTCCTTAACCTTCAACTCTTTAATAAAGTTCCTCATACTTTGGTAACCCCCTCAACCATAAACTTATTTTCATTGCTGCTTCCTAACTGTCATGTTGCTGCTATGAATTTTAAATAAAAATGTCTGTGTTTTTTGATGGTCTTAGGTGACCACCACCTCCAAGTACAACAGAGGAGCAACTTCTAGACACAGAGCAACTGCTGGGATCTCAGTCTTCTTCTCTAGTTGTTACTAGGAATCTACTCTCTCATGGGGGGGGAGAAGTTTCTTAGGTGGGCAAAAATGTACAGTGAAAAATTCCACTGAGATCCCTTCCAGATATAAATTTCTTCCTAGAGATTTAAGGAAATGCTTCTCACCAACAGGAATGCAGATGACCCTGGCCTCCTGTGCAACAGCATAACTGACTTACTAGCAGCTTCTTCACAAAGGTTGAAGAACCTTTGAAAGCAATGCTGGACCTGGAAGGAAACTCACAAGCAGACTTCCCAGTTCTTCCAGCACAGTCAACAAGAACCACTGCTCCATCCTTCTATTTCTAAAGAGAAGATCCCGCACCCCACCACTAACATCAAAGGTCTAGCTCATGTGTTTACCCTGCAGCCCATGACAAAAGCTTCAGACAATCATGAAAAAACTCCTTCAGATGTGCTCAAGGTAGGGTCACACCTGAGACAAAAATAAACAGGGCATAAGGTGGGAACATTTGATAAGACACGAGTCATAGGGGTAGAAGCCAATGCTATTTGGCTAAGGAACACAAATGCCTTGCCTTATGAAGCATCTTTTGTTTTGGTCCATCTGAGCCAGGCACAGTGTAAGGGAATATGCCATGAGGAAGCATCGGACTCCATGGGGGCTCTGCTGCTCAGCCCTTGTGGGAAGATCTCCCACAACCAGTGCAGGCAGAAATTCAGCTTACAAGGGGCAAGAAGACAGGCTTTACCCAAAGACCATGGGGGAACTGGGTGAACAGAACAAATAACTCTAAGGTAGTGACTCAAAGCCCACAGGGCTTTTATTTTGCTGAGAATGCATTGTAAGACAGTTCTTTGTCCCTGCACTGGCTTAGAGAAGTCCTTAGCCATGGAAAATCACTCTCGATACAGACAACGTATTGGGGACAGGCTCACAATAATGGTGGGTCTTGCAGGCAAACAGGGAAAACCACACCACCTGATAGAAAAAAATGGAATCAATCTTCCCACAATGCTTCAATTAAGGGCAAATAACTACTTCATCTTTTATCACTGGCCAGACTGTAATTGTTTGGAGAAAAGTCATGTGACAGATAAAGCTGGCCTATAAAGCCCCTGAACCAAGTCCTGGCTCCATCACCTACTAGCAGTGGCATCTTAGACCTGTATCTTTAAGGCTTCTCTGATGTACTGTAGAGAAAGTCACTTCATGCAGCTTCACATACATGGTACCAAGAAACCCTTCCTACTAGTCTATGCCTGGCTGGAGCAGTGGAGCCTTAATAGTAAGTTGGGTCTAATATGCTCATTGCTTACAGAAAACTTGCAAATACCTTTGTGTCCACACTAATGCCAATGGGATAGTTAAGAAGGGATACAGAGCCAAACATGGTGCTGCGTATCTGTAATCCCAACACTCAGGATGTAGAGGCAGGAAGATCAAAATTTTGACATGGGCTATACAGTGAGTTACAAGGTCATCCTGGGCTACCTGCAGCATTTGCAGCTCAGGAAGCTACTGTGCACATCATTCCTTGTTACCATGTAGAGCTGTCTTTTTGGAGAGCATCACTTTGTTTTTTGGGTAAGAGGAAGGCCTCCTTCCTTGTAGAGTCAAGTTGAGAACCAGGGATGTCAGCAAGGAATGGTTTAAAAAAAAAAAAGACAAAAGTGGGCTCTACTCTTCACTTTGCCAAGTCACAGATCCTTTCTGAGCCTCCCTTTCCTCGATGGCATAATGAAAGAAAGAGCTGAAGTTGAGGTCATAGGGCTGTCGTATGCCAGCCTAACTAATTGGAAGTGGCTACTGAGAAAGGCCACAGAGCCATATCCAGACCCAGAAGGGGAGGGCACCGAGAGAGAGAACAGTTCCTGTACATTGCCATCCTGGATCAGATTATTTGAAACTCCCTTTCAGTTCTGTTAAGTCTGTGATCCTAAAGCCCATGTAACAACTGGAAGTTGACTGAGCAAATCTGCCAAAAACAGCCATACTGTTTTCTACCTTGTTCCACAACAAAAGCATCACATAGTGTTTTAAAATTGTTAAATAAGTAACCAAAATTTAAAATCAAGAAATTCCACTGTGGCGATATCTTGCTTGTACAAATAAAGCCTGTCTGAAGGTCAGAGAACGGAGCTTGCCACTGGCTAACCATAGAGGTCTATAGCAGCAGAGCATGCTCTAAGACAAACAAGCATCAACTTTCTTAGTTACTCCATTTCTTAGTCTCCTGCCTGGCCCTGGGAGGCACCGTGGTCCTTACCCTAACCAACCTTATTGCCCTCCCTCACCACTTCACATAAGCCGCATACTTGCCTTCGTTAGGGGCATTCTCATCCCACACAGACCACATCTGGACACTGAAGAAGGGTGCCCAGCAAGCGATGTAGGCCAGCACAATGACAAAGGTCATCTTCACAGTTCGGATCTTTGCCCTGGTGATGGTGCTGATGCTGCTGACCCGGGATGGCAGCCCTCTAGTGGCTGCAGCAGGGGCAGAAGATGAGGACTTGTCCCACGTCCTCCAGCCCCTTCTTTCCTCCCTGCCAGCCTGTGTCTTGACTTTAAGGTTCTTGTAGATCTCACGGCAGATGAGGCTGTAACAGGCTGTGAGCACCGCCACAGGGAGCACAAAGATGGCCATGGTGGTCCAGGTGATGTAGGCCCGTGGCCCCCAAGAAAAGTAGAAATCTGCCCAGCAGTCCAGCACCCCTGAGCCCTGGATCACCTCTCGCAAAGAAAAAATGAAAATTTGAGGGAGGCTGAGGACGGCAGCCAGCAGCCAGGGGGCAGCAATGAGAGGGTAGGTGGCTTGGCTGGGCTGCTGGAGGCTTCGAAGGGGGTGACAGACAGCCAGGTATCGGTCCAGTGTCATGGCCAGCAGCATGTAAGTGGAAGCAAACATGCTGAGCACCTGCAGATACTTGACGGCCCGGCAAAGGACGTCAGAGCCCTGGAAGCGGTAGGTGATATCCCAGAGCAGCTGAGGCAGTACCTGGAAAAGCGCCACGCCCAAGTCAGTCAGGGCCAAGTGCAGCACAAACAGATGCATTCGGGAACGCTTATGGCCCTGGCACCCCAGTGTCAGGAGTACAGCCAGGTTGCCTCCTGTGGCCAGAACCAGGACAGTGGCTAGGATGCCAATCTCCACCTTGGCTAGCTCTTCATCCCTGCCCAGCCAGGGTGTGGTGGCATTGGGGACAGACTGGGTGCCCCCAGGGGAGGGAGTGGCAGTCCAGGAAGGCTCAGAATCCATGATCAGGATTTGAGGGAGAGAAGGATAGGAGGGTGGATGGAGGGACCGCGTGGGTGCAAACAAAGCTGGATAGATAAAATGGAATGGGAGAGAAAGCTCTAGAGGTGGAGAGAAAAGGAGGCGAGGGTGTCAGGGAACAGGTGGAATAGTTCAGCAGACAGGAATAGGAAGGAGAAGGAAACCAGCAGAGAGCAGACCTAACATCCCTGACCTCTGTGGGCCAGGGAATCAAGGAAAGAAGAGGAGGCTCTGGGAGCTGGGGGTCAGTGTGGCAAGGATGGAGAGGGTTGGAGGTGGGGGCTTCTGAAAGGTGACAACAGAGGAAGCAGAGGGGCAGCTGCCATCTCCCAAATCCAACCCAAATTCATTTTGTCCAAACTTTTCTGGAAGTGGAGAGAGTGGATGTCCTCGAAGGCACAGTCCAGGATCACAGGCAGGCGTTGCCTGCAGGAACTGGAAATCCCAGCTAAGCCATGCGCGCTCTCGGCTCTTCCTCTCGCTGGAGGAACACAAGCACCAGCCCAGCAGATGTGGCAGCTCAGAGCGTATTTGTATGTGCTTGGATTCCTAGCCCAGAGGCTGCCGCTTGCCGGTTGGCTCCTGCGGAGGAGGGTGGAGTGAGGTTCAGTGGCACCATTCAGACAGGGGTACCGAGGGGAGGGGCTGAGGAGCTGGGTGGGACTGTGGTGGAGGAGGGTCAGGGAAAGAATCGTAGAAGGAAGAAAGAAGCAAGCTCTCACCAGCTACGGGGATCCACTGGGCACCAAACAAACTAACCCAGGTTGGCATCTTGACCCCTCGACTCTCGCCAGACAGGTGCACACTGGAGATGGGTGTGTATGCTTGTGCATTTGTGTGTGTGTGTGTGTGTGTGTGTGTGTGTGTGTGTTTGTCTGTGTGTCTGTGTGTCTGTGTGTCTGTGTGTATGTGTGATAGAGAGAAAGGGGGAGTGGAGTGGAGGGGGAGAGAGAAAGGGAGGAAGGGAGGGAGGGAGAGAGAGAGAGAGACAGACAGACAGACAGACAGACAGACAGACAGACACAGGTGGTCTCTTTTCCCAAGCACAGTGCTGTAGGGCACCACAACGTGTGTGCAAGATACCAAATCTTCAGGAATGGCTGAAAGGCGTGTCCTAAAGAAGCTGACATTGGGGGACCAGATGTGACAGTCGTTCCTCTTAGGATGGGCACTTGGAGCTTTGAAGGTAGAAGAAAAGTGAGGACATTTGCACTGGAGTGGGGGCGGGGGGGGGATGGTGGATGGTGGAAGCAGCTAGACCCCAGAGCCCTGATGACAGGAGAAATTCCAAATAGAGTGTGCATCTCCAGGGTAAGTCTAAACTTCTGGCCTCTCTGGGGATACACTTCACGAGTTCATGTGAGGCAAAAACACAGCCGCTTAGAAATTATGTCACTTAGAAGGTTACAGAGCTAGTCAGCAGCAGTGCAGAACCAGAACAAACCAGCCGCAACAGAACTAAATACATTATCTTCAATGACACCACGGTGTGATGTGAGCTGTCTGAGAGGTAGCAGCTGATCTCAAACGAGTAAATACCATCTGGCCCTGAGAAAGTTTACAGTTCGATGGAGCAGGCACTGAAAGGTGTAGGTTGGGAAATCACTTTATCTTTGGGAATTTCACACTGTCGGGACTCACTAGGTAGGTTAGGATCCATGAGGAGCTGTGATAGTATGATCCAAGCCTCAGGGAGAGTAGGCTCTGTGAGTGCAGGTCCATTTAATTTGTTTTTTAAATCAAAGCTGATTGAATCAGCCCCCTTGACAAGCCACACACACACACACACACACACACACACACACAGCTTGTGTCTTTTCTAGATTTTTCAACCTGCTATATATCTCACAAATTCATCATCTTTTGTGCTTTGCTGTCCAAACTTCCCCTTTTCCAGAATTTTGCTGTTTGTGAATGAATTATTTTCATTTTTTCTACCTTTGTGTAGACACACTCTAGTACTCTTCATTAAAAACAAAAACAAAAACAAAAAAGCATTCTAACCCTGTGCAGAGACTATACCCAGATTTCTATATGTGTACTCTTCCTGCACACAGCATAACTTCTTGCTCTCAACCATTTGCTTTCTTTTCTTAAAAAACAAACAAAACAAAAAGGGATAAGGGAAAGGGAGAAGAAGGGAGGAGGGAAGGGGAGGTGGGGAAAAATGTATAGCTCAATTTAAAAAATGGCAAAAAAAAATAAGAGGAGAAACAAAACAACAACAACAAAAACTGGGATCTGACTGTGTAGAACAGACTGTGCTCCAACTCAGAATTTGCCTGCCCCAGCCTCCCAAGTGCTGGGATCACAGACATGAGTAACACAAGCTGCCTCCAATCATTCATTTCCACACTGTTTTTAGTTGAGTCAACCACATTTATATCTGTTTTTAAAATAGTATAAAAATGATAGCAAGCCATATGTACCATCTTTTCTCTTGGGGGTGGAATATTTTTTGCTTTGTTTTGAGACAAGGTATCAGATAGCCCTGGTTGACTTGGAATTCCCTATATCGTTAAAGATAACCTTGAACTATTTAGGGGTTTGTGTGCATGTACATGCATGTGGAATTCAAAGAATAACTTCAGAGAGACCATTTTCTCTTTCTGCCTGTGAGCACCTTGGGTCATCAATCCTGGCAGCCGGTTTCTTTACCCAACAAGCTATCTCAGGGGCCCAACTCTATGCCTCTACCCCTCAGGTGCTGGGATTACAGGTGCATTACACCATAAATGGCTCTGGACCTGGATTTTGAAATTCTGTGTGGTTTTTGAGATTGCCTATGTTGATAGATGGTATTAATCTAGTTAACTGACTTTACTACGTGATATTCAAAATGTGGAAGTAAACCACTTTTTATTTTTCCAGAACTGGGCTTTCATAATTGAAGTCATTCCAAGATTTTTTTCTTATTTACTGTGTTAATTCATCAGATTTTCTCTAGGGTGAATAGCTAGCATTATTGGGTAATACAATGAATGATTTTTGTTGTTGTTGTTTGTTTTGTTTTTCCAGATTGGGTCTCACTATGTAACTCTGGCTGTACTAGAACTTACTCTATAGACCAGGTTGGCCTCAAACTCACAAAGATCTCCCTGTCTCTGCCTCCTGAGTGCTGGGATTAAAGGTGAGTGACACCACTCTCATCTGTGAATGGTTTTTAAAGAGATAAGACATAACTTGAATTTTTGTCTCTAGTTGTTCTACTAGCCGAATTTTAGTTTTCCCGTCTTTCTCATTGTTAGACTTTTTAATTTTTGTCAACTTGGTCTGCATGGAATGGCATTCCTTCTATTTTATAGCTCTCTGATTATGATTGGTTTTGAGAATCTTCCCAGGCTTGATTTCCTCTTTTATGAATCATTCATACCCTCCATACAACTTCTGATTTGATTTTGTCACTTTGTCTTTCTGCATGTCTGGTATGGATCTTTTATTCGTTATCACATGTTGCAACTATAAGCTGTGGTCTCTGACTCATCTCTTAACTTTAAGCAGGGTCATCTATTACACGGAAGATTTGATTAGGATTTAGTTAATGGTTTTTCTTATTTCAACCTTTTGTGCTTTATGGTCTCTATTTACAGAAGATAGATGTTCCCTCCTTCGGTAATTGCCCCACCCCCATTCTCTGCCCTAGCATCGGTTTTTTTGTTTGTTTGTTTGTTTTGTTTTCTTTTTTCACTTTAAGGTTTGAAATTCTTTAGGAATTTATTTTTTACAGTGTGTGAAATAAGTCTCTAACTTCATTTTCCTCCCAGGGAACAACAATTCCTCCATTTATTGAGCAATCCATTGCTATCTGTCTATTACCTAAATAATTATCAAATTTTAAGATTGTTATTGAGCCTATTTCTAGGATCTCTATCTAGTATGGTACACTATTTTTTTAAAATCCCTGTTGTAATATTTGAAAATGAACTTTAATATATAGTAAAACAAAAAAAAAACAAGCCTACCCCTTGTTCCTTTAACATATTTTAAATATGTATTTTTTAATGATGTGTATATGTGTGAGTCTGTGGGGGGGGGGATATGTATATGTGAGCACGGATGCTTTCTAAGGCCAAAGGTGTTGGATAACCCAAGAGCTGGAGTCGCAGGTGGTTGTGAGTCCTTTGCAAGAGCAGAAAGTCCTCTGAGTTATCTCTCCGGCCCCTCTCCATCTTGTTCTTCTCAAACTGTTTTTCAAAACTTTGAAAATCATAATGTTTGTCAGTCTGTACAATTCCACAAAAATCTTTGTTGAAATTAGGTCAGAAACATTGAATTTGGGGGAAGACATAGCATTATGTATGTATGGTTTTAATTAGGTCTAACCTCCTTCAATAATGTTCTGTAGCTTTCTTCATTAAAAAAAAAAAATTTTTTTTCACCCTTTGGAGATTTGATTCAATCTACCTTACAGTTTCTGTTGCTGTTGTGCACACCACTGTGTCCTACTGCATTCCCTAGAGACTTGCTGGTTATTGCTAGTAAATAGAGACAGTACTGGGTTTTGTATCATGTTCCTATATACAGCAGGTTTTCCTTTTTAATATTTATTTGTTATGTATACAGTATTCTGCCTGCATGTACGCTTGCAGGCCAGAAGAGGGCACAAGATCTCATTACAGGTGGTTGTGAGCCACCATGTGGTTGCCGGGAATTGAACTCAGCATCCTGGAAGAGCAGCCAGTGCATTTAACCTCTGAGCCATCTCTCCGGCCTCTATAGCAGGTTTTCTCTAGTGTGGAAATTATCTAGGCGTGTAATATTGTTTGCAACAACATTAATTTGGTTAACTAGTCTCAATTAAGCTCATGTTTCTTTTTCTTATCTTACTGCTAAAGCTAAGATTCCAGTACAGTGCTAAAGAGCAAGAGTCACTGATGTTTCAGATGAATCTACATCAGGTTCTGTAGCTCTTCTTCAGTTACAAATTTTAAGATGTATTATTTTTTTGACTACATATACTAGTTAGGTGATTCTACAAAATT